CCACCCCCACCCCAACCGGAATTCTGTAACCAGTTATGGAATTCTGCAATTATTCATAAAACGTGCTGAAATTTTACCTCAGGAGATGCAATCTTGCTATATATGGCAAGGTAAGGGTGAACCGGGAGGATGGATGTGTTTCCATTTTTTAATGTTTTACGCATAGCCATCTGACCACTTTTTATTGGGTGACATATCATATGAGCACTCTCATGTAGGCTTGGAAAAACTGTAGCCAGAGGTAAGGCTGAAAAATGCCATAAGAATTAAGCGTACTGAAAATGGATGCTAGAGAGTACAACATGAAAGATGGCATACAGCTGTAGGTTTGAAATGGGAGGAAATGCATGTGAATATTTATACACAAAAGCCATTGGGGAGGGCTGAGTCTTGCCTTGAGTATCTGTGCAGGTAAGTCATTCATAAGAAAACTAATTACCTGTGCATGTACTCGGACTTGTTTAATTGAAAAAGCTGCATGTGTGCACATTTTCTGTTCTTTGTGGTTATGCAATTATGGATTGGGTGCTTTTTTACATGATAGCTTTAGGGAATGCTAATATATAATTTAAATGTACATATATTCAATAGTCATTGTGCTGAATAGCTATACTGCCAAGGAGGAAAAATTCTATCGTATAAACAAGATTACTATAGCTTGAAATCCAACTCAAGGCCTGTATATTTTAAGGCACATCAACTGGGTTAATAGAGTTAACTGTTTTGTTTGTGTGTTTTCACTTCAAAGTCAGAAATTAAGGATGCTTTGCAATCTAGATAATGTCTTTCCATCCATAATGAGATAAAAACTCGGTATATTTTAAATGCTGCAGACAGGACACAACATACAACATGGTTGAAAATGTCTTCCTTGCAGAAGGCTGTCCATTGCTGTGTCTACACACTTTAAAATACATTTTTTACAAGAAATGCTAGAAAGCAATAGGTGGTGAATACCACATTCCCTCAGTTAATCAGCACAATTCTTTAGTATTCTGGAATCCCTTCACTCACACCTACTTTTCTCAAATGTATTGGCTCCAACCTGTGTTTCTACTAATAGGAACTTAATCAGGGAATCAAACTTTGAGCCTCAGAACGGTAGGCATTATAGCCAAGGGAGGGGTATGTAAAGAAAGAAAGAAAGAAAGAAAAAAAAAAGAAATGTGTTCTTTTATGATCAAACTAGGATGTTCTCCAGTTGGCACTGTATACATAACACATATGCATATTTCTAATCTTAAGTAAACAAAAGAAGGGAGGCAACTGTGTACATAATCTAGCTAGAGATAGCAGCAAACACTAGCCAAAAAAAAAAAAAAAAAAAAAAAAAAAAAGGAAAAGAAAAAAAAAAAAAAAAGACTGAAAAGACTGACAGAAAGGACAACAGAGGCAAATAGACTTATAAAATGGGAAGAAAAAGGAGGGGGAGGGGAAATCAACAAAACCGTAGAACCAGAAATTTTCAAGGAATTTTTTTAAAAAATGCAAATATATCTTTACATATGCATCAGTATTAAAAATACTACACGCTGGACCCAAGGGGAGCTGGAGCAGGAGGAGGAGGAAAGGTGGAGGAGTGGAGGAGGAGGAGAAGGAGGAGGAGGAGGAAAGAATGGAGGCGCCGCGGAGCCCTGATTATGCATGGGCCGGAGCTGCCTCTTCTAACCTGTTCTCGGAGCAGGGCAGCCGGCGGTCCTCAGCCGCCCACAGAACAGGAGCCGAAACAACCGTTCCCGAAGGCTACAGCGTTTATTTTTCTCTTTTGGGGGATTTTGGCGGTTGTTTCAGGGGCTAGCCAACTGGCCCCTTTAATTAAAAGCTTCAATAAAAGGCGATCGCTCCAGGAATGCACCCGCTCCACTTCGCGCAGGATTTGCATATTTTTTTAATGCCCTAATTTCCTTGATGTATGTAAATGTAGCCGGACGTAGAGGGAGACAGGGAGCTGACGTCAATGGACGTGACCTCGCAGCTAAACCTTGAACGTGAAGCCGGGATGGGGGAAAACACGGAGCGGCGGCCGGTGGAACCCGAAAGCCTGTATCTATCCGTGGCCGAGCCCGAGCCCGAGCCCGAGCCCGAGGTTCCAAGGGCGCCCTTGCCAGTCCCAGGGGAGGACAAGCCGCTGCCACGTTTCTGCCGGCGGCAGTTGCCAGCCTCGCCAGTCTTCCCGCCACGTACGCAGATTCTCATTTCTGCACCTGCAGCCCCACCAAATACAAGTTCTTGTCTTTCCCCAGGAAAAAGAAAGAAACAAACAGACGCACAAACCTAAAACAACAAACCAAAAGCAACAGATAACAAACAGAACGAATCCCAAGTGTTTTAGAACAAGGCTCGGGTCGCTTGTCAGAAAGAAGACTGACAAAGGAACATTGTTATTTTTTCCCCTTCTCTCCACCAGCAGAGGAGAGGGAGACAGCAGATATCAGCAAAGCAATACCTAAAACACGATCTGCTACACATGTTCCCAGTAGGGAGAGGTAAATTGTCCAGCCAAATGGTGAGGGCTTCTCTTTTTGGTACCTGTTTACCTATCAACAAATTATGCGTGTTAGTTTCATTAACAGCAATGCCAGGAGCGAGAATTTTACTGTATGGGAGTGACGTGTGTGTGTGTGTGTGTGTGTGTGTGTGTGTGTGTGTGTGTGTTGGAAGATGCTTAGCTTACTTAGATTGGTGAGCACAGAGGGAGGCGGCTTGGGATAGAGACCAACCAGTATTTTCATGGCTAGGTCTGGTGACTAATCTGGGGAGTTATCTGGCTAAGGATGGTGGACTGGGGCTCAACCCCCTCACCCCACTTTGAAGAGATAAGCCTAAAAAGCCTTTCCCTGGACAGCTAGGCCCGTGTGATCGCTTTGTCTGAAGTAGGGGGACTTGAGGTGGGAACCATTCCTTTGGCTGCGGCTTGGATCAGGCCTGGTGTTTTCCTCTAAGAGCTCAGCTGCTCCTGCGTGGAGGCAGCGGCGGGCGCTGGGAGATCGGGAGGTCTGCAGGCTGGGCTCGCGTGTGCCCGCGCACCGGGCGGGGGCCGCTGGCACCTCCCAGGGTGCCGCCTGCGATCGCCACCCGCTCTGAGCCGCGAGGGTATGGTCCTCGGCCGCCGCAGCTGAGCTAAGGGCACAAACCTGCCAGCAGGCTAGGAAGAGGCGCTAGAGGCCGCGGTGTCAGCTTCCCAAGGCTGCCGTTTCTGATTGCACCTCGCAGCCCAGCTTTGTTTTCCTGACCTGCTCGCGGCCACTGGGCCGCGTGCCTGAGAGGGGAGTGTGTGAGTGTGCGTGTGCGTGTGCTTGTGCGCGGGGCCGTGCGTGTGCGCGGAGGCCGCGTGCGCGCGCGGCGGGCGGGGACCCTCCCGCCAAGGACATGCTTGGCTGGCTGTCCTCCCGTTGCACTTGGCGGGAAAGCTGGGGGCCCGTAGCGGGGCCGGGCGGCCGCAGCTCTCAGGATAGCCTCTCGTCTCCTCCCCAGGCCACATTTACAGACGGGCGACCGTCGAATTTTTAAAGAGCACCACCCACTCCTCGCCCTGGGTCGTGCAGGCTCCAACTATGGCCCCGGGACTCCTAGGTATCAGCCAGCGCCAAGGCTGCCTTCAGCTCCGGGCGAGCAAATAGGCCCAAGGGGGCAGACTGCCCTCACCGGGACAGATTCCTGCACCGCCTCCCCCCTCCTCCCATGCGCCCGCACCCCTGACCGCCTCCTGCTGGTGTTGCAGGAAACCCACCTTCCCTGAAAGCCCCCACCTTTCTCTACACACTGCCAGCCCCTCCTCCCGCATCTCAGCCTCTCTAGCACACACACACACACACACACACACACACACACACACAGAGAGAGAGAGAGAGAGAGAGAGAGAGAGAGAGAGAGAGAGAGAGAGAGAGAGAGAGAGAGAGAGGGGAGAGAGAGAGAGAGAGAGAGAGAGAGAGAGAGAGAGAGAGAGAGAGAGAGAGAGAGAGAGAGAGAGAGAGAGAGAGAGAGAGAGAGAGAGAGAAGCGTTTTCCTCCTTCGCAACCTTTATCATTCTCGCCTGGTACCCTTTGAATAAAACTGGAGTTTAGAGGAGAAAAATCCTCATAATGTATCCCTTGTCTTTAGCGAAACATACTACCCATCAGAGGGGGAAGGGGACTTGAACCCAAAGACCTTTCTTGAAAAACAAAACAAAACAAAACTCTGCAAGTCAAAAGGTCATTCTCCAAGTTTGTAAATAAAATTGCAAAAGGGAACCCCAAAAGAAAGGAAAGAAAACGAGGAAGGGAGCCAAGAAGGCCCACAAGTTAATAAAATGGTGCACTGGGAAACAAGACAGGGGGATTCTTTTTAAAATGGGTCCAAGAAACCAAGAGGAGAAAAGCTGGGGTGAAGGGGGGAGAAGAAAATACAAGGTGGAAAAGGCAAAATAAGTTTCCAAAGAAATGTGTGCTTTGCATCCTACAATAGGAAAATGTAGCCATTGCCCTCCTTCAGACGAGACATTTCTAATTTGTTCCGTCTGTCAGGAGGGGACTATGAGAGGTTTGGGTGCAAATTCATTATCTCTGGCAACGCAGAACGTAGTGTGGGGACTGAAAAAGACCGTGGCAATGGATGAACAATAGGGCTTCAGTTCATCAGTAACAAAAGCAGTGGGGAAATTGGTTGAGTTTCAGAGCACGTCCTCCTCGGCAGAGGGGGCTGGACTAGACCTTGGACAGCCCCCCCAAAAACTTGCCGAGCCTAGCACACACCACTTCACTCTGCACTCTGAGGCTCAGGGAGCAAGTGCTTGAGTGGGGGGGGAAAGTTGGCTTTTTCCGCCTCCTTGGTCTTTTGCGTTCTCTCTCCCTCAGAAGAGAAGAGAGGTGTAAACTATTTTAGACGCAACCAAGAAAGACTCGCCTACCATGTGGAATTGAGCGGCAGTTTTAAATGTACTAAGAGAAGACTGATCTGAAAAAAAATGTTTTTTCCTTTTTTTTTTTTTTTCCCCTTTTTTTTTTTTTTTTTTTTTGGAGACGCCTAAAGGAGCCTGTTTGTGTGCTGTTGCCGCGTTCAGCTGTGACTGGATCTTGTCTTCTGCCTCGATTTCGGCCCGGCTGGATTTGGGGGACAGCACTGCCTGGCGCGGGGACATCAAGTGAGTATCTTAGCTGCGTGAAGGCTGCAAGCTCCGCGGGGCTGCGCCAGGCCCGCAGTACTGGTAGTTGTCCGGTACCCACACCAGGAGCCAGGCAAGGGCCGCTCCGAGGGCCAGTCCGGGGCTTTGGTTCAGCTAATTGATTGTGTGTCTTTAGTGCCAGACCTGTTGATCGAGTGACTTGTCCGAGCCAGAACGGTTAATTATGCTTCGGGCTGACCCCTAATCGCAGAGAGATGCCAGAAAAAAATCGCATAGAAGGAAATTTTGTATGTAAATTTGTGGTGGTAATAGCGGGACTTCTCTTAGAGGCAGTGCTCAGTACAATTGTGCTGTGCGTTTTTAAATTCTGGGGTCTCAGTTTGAATAATTTGCTTATTTTGGATCGCCCCAAAGTTTCAGTTACCTGGCACTGAAGTCACGGTCTGATTAGACCCTAGTGGAAAACTTGTATACTAGGTAACTGCATCTGGTAAATTTTCTGCTTTCTGGATTTTGGAGGGGAGGGACACAGAGCTATCCCGAGTTTAGCTTTAACCGAACTGCAACCTTCATGGTTAGTGCGGTGCCTTGGAGCTATTCAGCTTCAGACACCTCTGGAATCGGAGTGAAGCTTGTTCTTGGTTTGCTCAGAGCCCCAAATCAACTGAAGGCAAGACCTTCCTTCCGTGGTGAGGGACTATCTGTAGAAAATCCTGGGCGAACAGAACCATAGCAATGTATTTTTGCTTTAGGGTCTGCATTAGGGTTTTTACATTAGGGGTTTTCTCTTGCAAATGTGCTGGCTGTGCTTGAATGGAGTACTGTCTGAAGGGGTCAGGGCAATTCAGTGGAACTGATCAGAAGTTAGACCCCAGGCCCTGTCAAGTCATGGCCACGGCCGTGGGGTGGGGGTGGGGTTTTAGAGCTGTGGCTGCCTTGGGCCCACAAGGATGAAGTCAGACCGTTTTCTTCCTCTCTTGGTACCCACACCTGCCCAACACCTCTATTTCCACCTTGGCACCGGTAACTAGGGCGATGGCAGGAACGAGCCACTGTAGTCAGCATAATTGGACCGGTGCAGTACTTTCATTTTGCAAAAACAACAGCTCCACTCCTCCAGTCCAAAATCATAGTAAGCATCAAAAAATCGTTTTTAAAAACCCAACCTATTTTCTGGAGTATGTAAGGCTTCTTAATATTGGATTGTAGGGGTGGGGTGGGGGAAGGGTATAAAAATCCACCACTTTACAGCAATCAGGGTTTACATTATTCATTGATTTACTGAGGGAAAGAGCCAATCAGGAGCCATAGATATGAATGCATATCTCACTATGCTGTGTGGCCTTACAGTAAACTATTTGCATCTTTCTAATGGATTAGACATTTACCCTGGGATTCCCATTGTTTGAAAGGCCAGGAAATCCAGTCCCTTAAACATTTAGAAAATAAGACTTTGTTCCAGATTTAAAATCCTTGCATGGTGGGGCTGTCTTTTCTCTTTTGTATGGCAGGTTACAAGGTTCAAATCCCTAATGTTTCTTAAGTCTCTCTTCTTTCCAAGCTAAAAATAAAAGGAGAAAGAAAAATTAATTTCCCAAACCCCTCTAGATCCTGCATATTTTGCATTCCCATTATCATGCACGTCTCCATTTAAATGCAAATTAGCATATTTAACCCTGTAGGTGCTAAGGCCCAAGATACACTGTATTGGTGTTTTATATAATCTTTTGGTATTTTAAGGAATCACAGTAATTGTAATACTTTAAACTTAATCTGTATATGATGATATATATAAACGGTGGTCATTTGTTTTATTGCTTATTTTTCAGATGAGACTTCAAAGAAGGATAAAATGAATACACTATTCAATCAAACAAAGGTAATTTAAGATTTTTTATTTGATAAAATATGACTGATGTACAAAACCAAAATAATGTATTGTTTACTGGTGGACAGGTCTGCAATGTCTTACATATTTCTCATTGCAACAGATAGAATTTCAGAAACATCTAAGTTTCAGTGTGTTCAGTTGTTTCTCCTGTAGGAGCCTTTGTGAATATATATATATACATATATATTCATAAGGCATAATATAAATATAGCCTGCAATGGCCTATAAGAAAGAAGTTCATTTTCAGAAGAAAGATACTTTTATTATCATGTAAGCCAGTTAAGTACATTACTTGAGCCATGAACATTGCTGTAAAAAAAATGGATTTTTACAAAGACAATAGTAGTATTGACTTTATTAATAGACTACAGTTTGTGCACCTGTAATTCTTACACATCAAATATTTAAAAAGAGTTGGTGTTAGGCCAATTCATTATGTATTCTGCATTAATGTAGATAGGATTTAGAGATGTTCTCAACATTGGTAATAAACCGAATGTATTTGAATTAATTAAATAGCATAATTCTGACCCAAACATGGTGAAATTCATAACTTTTTACTTTTAACCAGCAGAGATTGTGTATTCCCAAGTGAACCAGGATGCTTGAGTCATGTTTCAGAAATCTGGGGGCCTATAAAAACATCCAAAAATGAGCATGGCAATCACATCCTAGCCTCCCAGCCACTAATGAGAATTTAGTAGGGAACAAACAGGCAGAGCATTTGAATTCGAGATATCCTTCAGTATGCTGACTTCCAAGCAATTATTTTGTAGATTATCCAGATAGCTTTTTAAAAGCAAAAATACCTGACATGAAAGTGAGTTGTAGAGAACTGCTCTTCATATGTGCCATTGTGGACTCCTTGGAGCTGTGTAATTGCAGCATATTGGGGGATGTATATAATAACACATATGATAAACCATGTTGCAAATGTTGGCAATATTATGAATAATCAGGGACTTAATGTTAAATCTTAGTGTATTCCATTTTCTTCTGTGAGCCTGAGAGGTTGATAGAGAAATAAAATATTTAATTGGCTACATGGCTAATGAGCAAGACTGCCCATAATCCTCATCTTGGCTCATTTCACTTATTGGGGTTCCCATAATGAATCTGTTTTTAATACCAAGCATGGAGACCACAGTCTTAGAGTAAATTATCATGGCTACACAGCATTGGCTGAGAAGGTGCTATTTGAAGACAGCATCTTCTGGAGCTTCTAATGTCAGAAGCATCCAAATATTCAAGGTGTTAACTCTCATTGTAGATGCTGTTTCTGAAAATGCATTTTATTGTTAAGTATGGGATACAGCCATAATAATTTTCAAACTACAAAAAAAAATGTGAGGATAATACACACACCACTCACAGGTAAATGTATAGCTTGCTCTCTCACACCTACAAGCACATGAAGCAAAGGGTATGCTAAAAACATTCTTGATTTCTTGGGCTTTGACTTACAGAGTTGAGTAGATTTGATCATTTGCTTGATTTATGCAATACCTGCCAGATCACTAATTACTCTGCTGCCAGTTCTTGGAAAGCAAGGCCATAGTGCTCTTTAATCTTCCAAGCTCCAAAGCTCATTAGGGTTTTACATGATGTCAGAAGTGGCATGTGCCTCAGTGAGTTGTTTATGTTGTGACCATATGGTTTAAGAAGGAACAAAAATTCCATGAATGTGTTTTTAAAATTGAATTGTAGTTTACATGTGCATTTTATATCTGACTTCTTGTTCATGATTTGATAAGAAATATCATGAGTTTTTTCCATATCATAGTCTTTTCTAAGTAACCAGTAAAAGAATACTTACCACAAAAGTAAACAAATTAATCTAAAGACAGATTGGCATCTCTGATACTCTGCCATATCTTAATTGGTGTGATAGTATGTTTAAACTCTTCACTGGAGATATTTCCTAGCATAAAACAAAAACAAAACAAAACAACAACAACAAAACAACTTGTCAGTCTCTTTTACAGGGTTTATATTTGTGTGCTCTGTATGTGGTTGAATAAGCCTGTTTTCATTCACATCTTAAATGAATAAGTTAGTGAATTTCCGAGGAAAATGTATGTTCTAAAAAATGTAAATCTGAAAGTGTTTAGCCCTTGGGGAAAATGGACACATTATGGAATTGAGAGTATAGTGACACCCTGGTGATGTGTGCAATGGATATTAAGAATTATCAATTCTATTTTAGTATGTAATTTAAAGAATAGCAACACCACCAAAAATAATTAGTAATCTTGATTAATACTTTGTGGCATTTACCCACCGAGAAAATGCCTCTTACGTAGATTACCATGGATATTTTGTTGAGAGGCATCTGAATGTTTGATGTTAATAGATGTGCCAGACAGATCATCTATTATAAAGGATGGAAAAGAAAAGGACTCTTGGAAGAGATTTTAAAGTCACACTTTAAAAACTTCTAAGACAATGAATGAAGCTAATGCATTTATTAAATTCTGCTTCTAGATAGAAGAGAAAGATGAGTGGGTGGGGCCAGGGAAGGTGAGGTGGCACCACACTCCACATCCAGGTGTTTTATCTGCATTTTCAGGAGACAATAATTTTGTCATCATTTTATAAGCAAGTCTAGAGCATTTTTTTTTTCTGGTATGAAGGCTGATGTTTAAAACAGTAGACAAAGGCTCAGCATTTTTACCACAGCAGAGTTGTGTACTACATTAGAAACTATTGCTACAATATTTACCTATGCTGCATTCTAACGCACACACACTTTATAAGAAATCATTAAAAAGACAAAAAGATGATAAAAAAGATGAAGCTGGTCTGCTTAGACCGTTCAGTTTGAATTTACAGAACAGAATGCGTTGCCCTATCGCCACGGTACACAGATACAAAACATGCCTGAGCTGTGCAGCCATTAAAAACACAACACCAAAGCAAATTGTCAATGTAATCACACATCGACTCACTGCGTAATAATACAGATCTGATTCCCAGCCCCAGAAAGCGAGGCCCTGCTTTAAGCAATAGTAAAGTGCCTTCCATCTGCCTGCCTATGCAATCTGCCAGAAGAGAAATGCAGGCAAAGACGTTCCCCAGACCTGAAATGCTTTTATCTGTCCTTAGAGAGAGATTTCCTCCAGTCTTTGGATATTAGAACGATCTACACTAGCGCCGAGGAGGTAAAAGGCCGCGGGTTGCTCTTCCAGGAACAGTCGGTAGTGTTAGTGGATGAAATGTTGATTGAGAAAATAGGGCTTGTGGCAGAGCTGCTGCTGCGTCGCCACCAACACTGCTGCAGCCACCGCCACAGCAGCCTCCGCTCCTCCTGGCAGCAGGCGTGGGGCAGTTGGCTGATCACTGATGCATATCAATAACCATGTACTTGAGATTTCTCATGACATCATCATTACCTTGGTCTCCCGCGGTCTCAAACCTTTGACCTTGCCAGGCTGGTCCACAATTTGGCAGTGAAAGCCCCTCCAATGATGGCCCTTTTCTCCTTCTTTCAGACCGGGAGCAGCAGTATTCCAGCAAGACAACATCTTCTCCCCAGCCTAGAAGTTCTGAGAAATCGAGGATCTTCCCCTAAAACATTCTCATACAAGATATGTGCAATCAAGCTGCCAGCACTTGGTAAAAAGCTCATGATGCCTAACCCGATGATCCGGCGCGGATCTTTGAATCAGCTGTCACTTCTATAGAATGGGATTTTCCCCCTCTTCCTTTTTATCCAGCGCTGGAAACTGCCAAGGGCTTTGTACATCTCAGTAGAGGAAGGCTAAAGAATCTTACGTGAGAAGGAAGCAATTTACAATGCAAATAGAGGCCTGTGAAGGGATGGACGCTGCTGCTCACTGGAACAGCTTGCTGCACCTTAGTCGCTGGTTTCATTTTCTGATATTAATAGATGAATTGTTGGCTAACGCTGCTGGAGATTACTTGCTGGAAGGAAAAGAAAGTTTGGAATAAACTCTGAATGCACCAGATCTTATTTGGATGTGTTAGCCGCACTCACTCAGACAGAAACCAGGTCACATTTGCATGAAAAGAGGAATCTTAAACGCGGCAACTATTCTGGAGGACTACACTTGTGTAGATCCAGTGTGGAGAGCGATCTGGAGTGAAACCAGAGGAAGACTTCCTGTGAGGGAAGCGAGTTGTTATCTTTGGTTATCTAGCTGTATGAGTGTATTGGTCTTCATAAAGCTAGATAACCGAAAGTAAAAACTCCTTCAAGATCACCGAGGAGCGGCCCAGAATGAAACCCTACAGCCAAGAGACAGTAAAGACCAGAAAGGTCAGGAATGCTTATTGAATCTAACTTTTTTTTTCTTATGGTTAAAAGTGGGATGCAAGGAAATTAAGTGACACCCATATTGAAATCTAAAGGGGCCAGGTTCTGAGAGGGGCTGTACAACTGGAGAGGAGAATTGTGTAGTTTGTATGGGTGAAGATGCATGGACTTTCTATATTGTTCTGTTTTGGAGCAAACGTTTTACATATAAGAAATACTTTTCTTAGAAAGCTGTTATAGTGATGCCTGATACCTCGTTTAAAAAGGATGCCAGAATTATGTAGATTTGGACAGTTCCCTTCTGAGGCCCCTCCCTCAAGTTTGAAGCTTGTGCTTGGAAACTTTCTATGTATTTGAGGTTGTATATTAAATTCTATGAAGTTAGACTTTCAGTAAAGCTTATATTGGAAGGTTAATAATTTATATCTCCCGAGGACTTAGAGCAAGCAGGGGAAATGGAGGGGGGGGTCTGAATTTTATTCTTCTATTCAAAATACAAGGACAGATGCTTCTCTGTTCCAAGAGGGTTTCCTTGAGGAAGCTACTGAAGCAGAAAGACATGATGGAGACGAGATCGCCTCCCCTCTTGTCAAAGTGTTAAAAAAATGTTCTGTCTTACTCTGCGCCTAGCATTGGAAATGAAAGTGACATTTACGCCACAACCCACGTGTGCGCCTTCTCTCTTTTTGTTTAAGGATGATCAGGTCTATCCAGGAAACAGCTCTGGCATCCCAAACTGAAATAATTAGGACGTATATAGACCTGACAAAAATGGAAACGGGGTGGGGAATCTGAGGGTCTGTCTTGCCTAATTGATTCCGCTAAACGGAAAGCAGGAGATGTGAACGGCAGGACGCTCCGATTCCCACGCTCGGGGGCAAGTGGTAAAGCCTGGCCGGCAGCCTATGACAGACAGCCCTGTTGGGGGGCAGGGGTATGAAAAAAAACATCAAGCACACACACCATACTCATCTCCATCGCTTAAGAAAGTAAAGGCATTTCCCACCCACAGCCATCTGCAGCCTCCCAAATGGCAACACCAACTGGTTGGTAGCTGCTGCGTACTGTTTCAGTTAGTTTTTAAACCACTGTTTAATCTGGCCATGATTAAATTTGGCTTTCTCCTCTGGTTGAAATTTTCATTATTTAAGGAAAGCAAGTGGAAAGGGACGCTAAGAACGTCCCTCCGGAGAAATTCTCAGCCTGTGGTTAGGGCTTGGTGATCACCTTTTGGCTTTTGTTTTGGCTGTGTTGTATTTTAAAGTCACGTCTGGTAACACTCATTCTGACTTAGTTCATCGGACTGTTTACTTCTTTATGTGACACAGGAACTTGGCCTACTTATGCTAATCTACATTCTGGAAATAAAGCTATAAAGTCATCAGTCTGTAGAAAGTTGATTACAATCACAGTGTGTTTAAAACTTGTTTTAGAATAGTCTTAGCAGTATGTGTGCTACAGCTTTTTCTTCTTTTATCTAAAAGTAACTAGTCCTAGCATAAACCTTGAGGTTTTGGAGAAATCCATTGTAAAGCTTTTCTGAAATTCCTTACATTTTGTTACATGTTATTAGGCAAACATTTGTATAGGCACTTGCATATGAACACAACCACTGCAATAAAAAAAAATGACCAACATTGCCTTTCACATGGCCTAAATTACTGACACTCTCAGATATATGATTTTTCTTCAGGGACAGTGCATTTTTCTTTATCACTTCAACTTTTTATAAGATTGAGACTGGGAAGGCCTGGGAAGCCACTGTTAGCGTCACATAGAAAAAGCTGAGAGACTTTAATAAAGTAAATTCTCAATTTGGCTGCTGAACACGTGCCAAAGTTTTACTACTGTAGTGACTGTTGAGAAGACCCGTGTTTATTTACCTTTGAAGCACTGTTTGTGCAAACAAGCTTTCATTGTAAAGTGCCTGTGTTCCTTTCATTTGCCCCATGTCCAGGGGTGCTATTTACCTAGAACCATTGTCTACTACAATTAACATTTACATTACAAAGTGTGTGGTTTTCTTTCTCAAGGAGGTTCAATTAAGGCAATAAGATGTTTGCTGGGGAAACCTATTGTTTACTCAAAGCACTCAATGGAGTCAAATTACTGAAGTTTTTGCCTACATCTTGGTCGTTTATGTAAATATGTTAACTATAACATCTAAGGAAAATAAACAATATTAAAATTATCTGTTTGCCATTGTCATATCAAACTTGCTTTGTATCATACTAATGTTACATAACTTATTGATCAATAAAAATACATTTCAATGTTATTTTCATTTTATTTTTTTGCTGTTCCACTGCTCTTGCTGCAACATGTCCCAAATTTTCTTTTTTTTCTATTACACATCAAACTTCTGACCTTTTGTTACATTTGTGTGTGTTCAAAGAGGTACCGTATCTGAGTAAGAGTCTAAAGGGTGTCCACAATAATCTCTACATCATCAGGTGATAATTTTTTTTTAAATCTGAAATATTCCTAAGGCATGCACATTTAAGCCAAAAGAAGTGTAAATATCAGTTAAGTAGTTCTTTGAAAGCTAGTTTTAGCATTGGCAGAAACCGGATCGAGTTTATTTAGCATACCCCTGCATTGTAAAACAGTTGGAGTGAAGTTGCAGTTTGCGTGAGTATGCATGTTAACTAGTGGGAACCAGTGCAGTCTTTGTGACAGGAAAGCAGCAGATTGCTGTGCAAGGCCAATGTTAAAAAGGCAGCTGAATTTAACACCATCTGGAAGAAAAGATCCCTTCACGACTTTCTCACACCGTCAGACAAAACTAGTGTCTCTTGTTCCGAGCCCTTGTCTATGCAACCATACAATACTGAGTCATTATACTTTTGCTGAGAGAAAATTTGAGAACACAATATGGGTAACCAGTGAATGACCAAGTTTCATTGTGCCCGTCTAAGTCGATTGAAATCTACGTCTAGAGCTATGAATGGATGTATTGTTTTCCTCACCAGGGCTGTACTAAATGTCAGCACAGTGTAAAGAAAAACTTGAAGTCTGCAAATAACTTACCAGATCTCAATTATAATATTTTCCCACACTAGAACTAATATCATTGCAAGGGGCTACATTGCAGAAAATACAAAAAGAGATGAGAAGAAATAAAAGAGCTCATTACTAAGTTATTTTATCTATACAAACATTTTAATTTTCTGATTCAAAGTTTAGGATGCAGGCTTAGTTGAGGAATGGAGTTACAAAAATGCTTCTTGTGCAATTAAAGTAGATTAAAAACAAATCCCCACCTCTACCTGAAACTAATTATGCATAAATGGACTCCACTTGGATTTTATTGCTTTAGTTCTGCTTAGAATTGTTAGTATGACTCTAACTTAAATTTTGCTTTGAGTTTTAGAATCCTACTCTTTCAAAGTTTGCCACTATGATTGAAACTGTACACGAACACCATAGAAGTATATTTGCCATATACACAGAAGCACACTGGTGGATTCTAGTGCCCTCAAAATATGTTTACTGTTTATGGTTTCTAATTTGTTTTTACACATGAATATCAATCAGTTATCTTCATGGTTAATGTTCACGTGTTCTATTTGATTGTAAACAGTTAGAATAGGGTAACAAAACAATTCAGAAAGAGTAAAAGAAGCCAATTGTGTATATTTTATTAAGATGTCTATTTTAAATATAATTGACTTTGCAATTTTGTTATTGTGTCACTAAGTGTCACATAGTTCTTAATGTGTAAGTGCAAAACAATGAGTAATTGCTGTTTTGCTGAATAGTACATCTGAGTTGCCAATGTCAAAGGTATTATTTTGTGTATTCCCAAACAGAAACATTAGCTACTGATTTTGACATTTAGAACCTTTTCAGGAAATTCTGAGAAAGAGGACAATAAAGTGATACCTTTAAAAGTAAATGTAAAGCTATAAGCAATGTATTTTCCTTGTCTTATTTTGTAATACTAGAAATTAGCAATGAAAAGTCAGTCACTCAAAAGTCAAATTATAAAGCATATAACATTAAACACTGATAAAAATCCAACACAGCAACAAAAATTGAAATTGAATAGAAGTTAAAACACAGATACATAGGAAAACTTCTATAATCTCTTCCAAAATATGCATGGGTTTAATATTAGTCTTTCCCTCACTGAAGTTACTATGGATATGCATAATAATGAGGTAGCTACATTATTTACATTCAAAATATAATTTTTTTCAAAATAGCTCTTCAGGTCTTCTCAAAACATTTTGTATTAGTTGTACTCTTCCTGTTTATTTTTAAAATTAAAATGATTTTCTTACTTAGAAAAATGTAAAATTCTAATTTGATTTTGTGTTGTTTGATGAAAATTTAAAAATCATTTAAATAATGAGATGAATGAGTACATTTCAAGTTCAAAACCACTTCCTATTCATAAACTACATAAACATTTTAGGGTAGCTCATCTTTTTAAGAATTTTGATTTTTTATAAAAGTATTTTTTTGTTACAGTGTCTGGACAGGGGCAGAAAGATGACTCACTGGTTAAGAGCACTTGTTGCTCTTCCAGAGGACTCAGGTTCAGTTCCAAGCACCCACATGACAGTTCACAACCTTCTGTAATTCTAGTTCCAGGAAACCTGATGCTTTCTTCTGGCTTCCTTGGGTACCAGGCACAGATGTGGTTCTCAGACAAGCATGCATGCAAAACAGTCATACACATAACATAAAATAAAAATAAATGAGATGCTTGAGAATATTGATATCATACACACACACACACAAATATATATATATATATATATATATATATATATATAGAGAGAGAGAGAGAGAGAGAGAGAGACTGATTCTCTATGTAGCTCTGGCTGCCCTGTAACTCACTCAGTAGAGCAGGCTGGCCTGTAATTTAGAGATCCACCTGCCTCTGTCTCCTGACTACTGGCATTAAAGACATGCACTACCACCCACGGAGTTCATTCTGTATCTTTCTGTAACTTACAGTTTCTTAAATTTGCTAAAGTAAACACACAATGTTATGTTGCATTGGGGTAGGTGAATTCTGGGTGGTGATGGTGAGATGGACAACAAAGAACAAGTCTTCCCTGTGATTAAGAACTGGAGTTAGAGTAGTTGACTAAAAGCTATTTGTAATACTGAGTCAATTGTCTTACCAGTACAGTAGCTTGAGACTCTTAAATAGACCTTACAGCAATGGAGCATGTAAGGCAGTTCTTCAGTGTCTCTGGATTAATGGATGGCTTTGTTATCCTGTTATTCTGCACCCCACCCACCCACCCCCACTCCCACCAAGTTAAACAAGCTATTGCAGAAATTCATTCCCATTTGTCTAGAGAACCCATTTCACCCCTTCTGGGAATTGTTCGATTTTCCTGTGGAATTAATCCTACAATGGTGAATGAAAATGCAAGTGTATAGTTGTGATTGCTGCTAAGGAATATCTGCCTGCTCTCAAACAGGGCCTCAGGTTGGAGTTAGTGAGCTTCCTTAGAAAGGTGATAGCCATCTTTGGAGGTAGAAGCATGTGGCTTTCTGCTTTGCTTCCAAGTGCCAGACCACAGGGGATAGAGTTTAAAAAGTGCAGATAATCGATTTTATTCATAGAAACAGGAACTTCTGAGCCATATCTGTTCAAAGAGAAGCACATCCCTGTGCTTGGTGGTTTGACTTGGTCCTAGCGAGGCGTCGGCACAACGCAGTCTAGAGATCTAAAAATAGCCAGGCTTCTCCTCGCAAGGTGCTCGGTGAGGGCGGTGTGCAGATCTGATGGCAGGCTGTGACTGGCTGCAGAAGTGGCTGGGCCAGGCAGTGGCGGTGGCTGAGGCTGCGGGTCTGCCGCTGGGCATCACAAGGCCCGCCAGCGCGGGCCAACAGCCGGAGTCGTCGCTGAGCTGCTGCGGCTCGCGGCGGGCGACAGAAAGCAGGCGTCTGATTGGTGTTTCCCGGGAGACTGGCTGCCCGAGCTGGGGGAGCTGGTGCGCCGGCGCGCGCGCTCCCGACTGGCGCGCTCGAGAGGCTGGGGACGCGCCGCGGCGCGGGTGGCGGGGTGGGAGGCTGCGGACTCTGCAGGGCTGTGTAGCGTAGGCCGCCCCTCCTCTGCCTGGCGCGCTGAATGCATGCAGGAGGACTGTTGAATGTGATTTGCCTGTCTCTCGACTGGGTACCAGCGACCAGGCCTCTCCAGTCGGCATTTGCTTTGGGATCCTGAACTTGCGGATGGGGTGGCGTTGAGGGTTATTCTGGTTTGGACAAGGGTTTCTGTCAGGCAGGTGTTTTCTATCTCAGAGCCCTTCCTTGTCTGGTCTGCTCTGTTCTCAGTGGTTTAGGATTCTCTTCTGAGCGTTTCTAGCTCTGCCCAGTCTCTCTCTCTCTCTCTCTCTCTCTCTCTCTCTCTCTCTCTCTCTCTCTCTCCTGTCCCCCTCTTTTTTCTCTCTCTCTCTTCCATCCTTCTCTCTTTTTCCAGGTTTAATGATGATGTCCCTTC